ATTAATGCCACAATTTAAAATGCTTGAACTACATTGGTCAATAAAACCAGCTCATGTACATTGTTGTTTTTGTAATTGAAAACTCATAATATCTAAGTAGAATTTGAAAGTATTACTTCTTCAATTTCAAGATAATTAATTTTTTAATTATTTAAATTATTTTTTCAACATACAAGTTATATCAAACAGTTGACAAAAAAATACAAAATAAAAAAGTTATAAGAATATCTCTAACGCAACTGCCATAATCATATAATATAGCAGTTTGGACCTCCAAAAAAATAATAATAATAATAAAAATAAAAATAAAAATAAAAAAACAGCTCAAATACAATTGCCATAGGAGATGCTAAATTTTGGTGTTGTTATGGCTTTTTCCCCAAAATAAAATACAAGGTTTGGCAAGCTGTCAAAAATCCTTCTCTCTATCTCACTTTTATTGGGGTCATTTGTATCTGATTTTTGTGAAAGTAGCATTTCTCCATTATAATAGAATTACCAAATTTTAATATTTTGAGTACTTCAGCATATTAAGGTCTCATTTGGTATATGGGTTGGACTAAATTGACTAAGAAAAAGATAAAATAGGTTAATTTAGTCAATAAAATAAAATGTCATATTTAAATCATAATAATTTTATTTTTTCTCTCATAATTATCAAATCAATTACAGTACAAAAAAATAAAAATAAAAATTTATCCTAAACATAACTTTTTTAATCAAGTTAAAATAGCCAAAAATCAAGTTTATTTTTTTTATCCCAAACGAGGCCTGAATTTCAATTTTGACAATTCATCATTAAGTAGCTCTAAACAACCCAAATTAAGGAGGGATAAACTCCCCTCCATACCTCACCTCTCCATATTTCTCCATACTCATTTTATGAATTTTAATTCGAATACACACAGATGATCTGAGCCATCTATGTCGTAGGGCTTGCAATAAAGGTCATTCATGCAAAAAAAATTAGTTTTATTGAACAACTATAAATATGGGAACAAATCGCATTTTATTTTATAAAATAGATGGTTTAAATTTAATTATATTTACCATTCATTTTATAAAACATAATACGATTTATTTTTGTATTTATAATTTTCTAATGAGTTTATTTTTTGTATGAATGATCTTTATTGTAGGGTCTACAAGATAAACAGTTCAAATCATTGATACAGATCCGAATTGAAATTTACAAGAAGAGTATGAAGATGTATACTACATCAAAATTGGCCTTTAGCGGCGGTTTTTTGCCGCCACTAACGACGGTAATTTAGGACTGCCGTTTATACTTGTGTCGGAAAAGGTACAACCGTCGTAAAAAGGTAAATTACCATTGTTAAAAGTCGACCAAAAACGGCAGTTCTTTACCGCCGTAAATAGGTTCAAATTTTAAAAAAAGTAATTCTCTCTTCTTGCACCCCCAGGTCTCGAACCTTTGACCTTTAATCCACGCATGCCAACCACTTCACTACAGCCACTCTATATGAAATATATTCCCTAAATAAATATTTAAACATTACTTTTGCTTTATTGTAGATGGTCATATTCAACCTCTGGCCGCGTGTGGTCACCACTCACCGGAGTTCTGCCGAAACTCTGCCGGCAAAGACCGTCGTCATTAACGGCGGTAATGAGAGGGCTTTAGCGGCGGTTTCGTTACCGTCGATAAAAGAGGGCTTTAGTAGCAGTTTTTTTAACGGCGGTAACGAAACCACCATTAAAGATACATTAATAGCGGTTTCGTTACCGCCGTTAATAGTATCTTTAACGGCTGTAACGAAAACCGCCGTTAATGTCCTGTTTTGGCGTAGTAAGATAAGGTATGGAGGGGAGCTTATCCCGATTAATGGGTGATTATTCGGTAATCTGGGAGTATGGCTACATAGTAACCCATGGTAGTATGATTGGTAGAGAATGTGGAGTATTAATTATTTGTATTAGGTGATTGAAAAATATAATGAGACATAATAAATTGTGATTGGTAAGAAACAAAAATGTTTAAGACCTCCTTTCCCCTCACCCCTTTGACCCCCTCTCTTTTTTAATTGGCTACTTTTTCTTTTTCTTTTTTTTTTTTCCTTCTCCTCTAATCACCGCCCACCACGTGTGTGTGGGAGTTGTGGGGTGGTGATTGGAGGAGGTCTCTATCAATGCTCGGTAAGAAAATATGATCATGTGATATTCCAAAATTACTGATTAATTTTCCCATATTAAGATACTCTGTAGGAATAATGATGATTCCATTAATCTTGCAATGGTAATTTATTCCCAAAACATAATTAATTGCTTTAACTCCAAAATAATCACTTTTACAATAATCTTAAGAGTTATGTTAGGCATTTCAAATAAATTATCAATTTTTTTTATCAAATCTCTTACATGGGTATGGAATTCACGCACATGTGATTTGTATGATTTGATGTGTATGAATCTCACACTCATATAAAAAATTTGATAATTTAATTAAGATGCATAGCATTTTCTAATCTTAATTATTGCGAGACAAGAATGTTATTGTCGAGAATCGTACGGAGTTACAACAAACAAAGAGCCCTTTTACTGACAACGAAAAGTTTCTATGAAAATTGTTACCAAAATATCAATTTCACTAGGTGGCATCTCACATTTTTAATATGTGCTCTTTTGGAAAGTTGGTAAAAAATTAATTTTTAATTTTTTATTAATTTTGAGTCACATCACTTCTCACATAACTTACACACAAAAAAATAAAATAAGTTAAAAAAGTCAAAAAATTAATTTTTTACTAACTTCTCAAAACACCCCAATATAATAAATAAATAAAGAGTAAATTACCCTCCCTCCTATTAAAATTTGGAAAAAAAAATATAAAGGTAAATTATAAATAACTAACTTCTCAAAACACCCCAATATAATAAATAAATAAAGAGTAATAAATTACCCTCCCTCCTATTAAAATTTGGAAAAAAAAATATAAAGGTAAATTATAAATATATTTTTTAGAATTTATTTAAAATATAAACTACTCTTTATAATTTTGAAAATTATGTCTCTCCTCTTGAAATTTATAATTTCATAGCAAATATCTACTGTTATTAATAAATTATTAAATCAATTAACAGTTTTTAATGATATCAAAAATTTATTTCAATTTAGGTAATTTTATTATTGTATATGAAAGTAATAAGGAATTTTATTTTTTCAATTAATTTTGTTAAATAAAAAACTCTGACAATGAGGTATTTGTAATTTTCAAAACCACATAGGCAACTCATATTTTAAACAAATCTCAAGGAGTGTATTTGTAATTTATTCAAAATATAATTAGTCCCACACTTTTGATATAATTGCATTGATCTCCCTTGATGTTTTAATTTATATAATAGTTAAGTCATTTTTATCAATAATTGTTAGTTGTCATTTTTTTTTTTTACTAAAATGTATATTTATTTTTGTTTATTTCAGTGTTGGCTTATTATCTATATTAGTTTCAATCACTTTAACCTTATTAAAAGAAATATCAATGTAATTATGTTAATAATAAGAGGTTAATTGTAAAGAGTGGTAAGTGTAATTTATTTAAAAGAGAAATGTTAGAGACCCATAATTTAAACCCTAAATTAACTCATAATGATATGGCAAAGTAGTGGGGTCTTAGGATGAAAGGTGGTTGCTATGCCATTTGCACATCAATCATTGTTGTTCAGGCAATGAGGTCTACTTCGGGTCTTATTTCAATGATCTGAACTGTTCAATATTTAGAATTTTTTGAGTAGAACATCCATGTAAAAAACAAGTTTATTGGGCATCAGTAACACTATGATCAAAAGAATTTTGTATTAGTAAAAATAAATGATAAGTGTAAATTTGAATATAAAACTAATATACAAAATTGATTTGATCATAATATTACCAATGTCCGATCAATTTAATTTTTTACTAGAATGTTTTACTCAAAAAACCCTAAATATGAACAGTTTAGATAATTGAAGTAGGACCCAAAGTGGGTCCTATTGCCCGAATAATAGTGACTGCTGTGCAAATGGCACAACAACCACCCTTATCCGGGGTTCTACATAATTGTGTAGATGATAAATCAAAAGTTAACATCTATGATGCCACATTATTATTGATCAAATTGGGGAACTCTTTTAGGATCACAACCATTTTCCTTTTCAAAAAATAACAATCAAACTTCCGAGAAACACTATGGTGCATTCCTTTCAAAGGGTGTATACCATATGCACCTTATAATTAAAGAAAAATGGCATAATTTCATATTTTTTGAGTGATAACTAAAAAAAAAATGTCATAACTAAACACAACATGAGACATAACTAAAGATCTCATGAACCATAACTAAAATAATGTCATAAATAAATAAATAAAATGATCATAACTAAAGAAAAAAATAATATAACTAGAGACACATATGTTACAAAAAATTTCGGGCAAATTACAAACACCCCCTCGAGGTTTGGTAAAAATACAGATTCCCCCTGAGGTTTGAGAAATTACAAATTGCCCCCTGAGGGTCAAATTTTCATAACAAATTAGGAGAAATTAGGGGGGAATCTGTATGAAAATAAAAACCTCATGGAGCAATTTATTATGGAAATATAAACCTCAGGGGGTGGGATGTAATTTTTCAAACTTCAGGAGAGAATCTGTATTTTCACCAAACCTCAAGAGGGTGCTTGTAATTTGCCCAAAAATTTCAATGGGGGTATATATTAGAATTCAACAATGGTAGGTATCATGAAAAACTTTTCATGAAAATAATCATGAAAGCTTTGTGACCTTTGAATTATACTTAGAATAAAACACCACACACAAATGAAGGTAATCTAAGGATCATAACTTTTTCATAACCATTTTCATGAAAAAAATTTCATCATTCCTAACTTTTTTTTTCTTTTTTTTTCATTAGAATTTCCCCAAACTTCCTCAACACTTTTCATTGGCTCTATAGCTTTTCCCACAAAAGAAAAAAAATACCAAAACAGGGTATTATTTACATATAAAAGAGCAAAACAGACCAAACAATCTAAACCATTGCAACAATGGGTGATAATCTTGAGCATGAAAACCCTCCTCCTCAGGTGATCATGCCCAGGGTCATAACCTTGCTCTCTTCTCTCCTTCACAGAGTGGCCGAGTCCAACGATCTCAACCGTCCCTTTGATGCCCAGAAAGTCTCTGTATTTCATGGCCTCGCCAGACCTACAATCTCAATCCAAAGCTACCTAGAGAGGATCTTCAAGTTCGCCAATTGTAGCTCATCGTGCTTCGTTGTCGCCTACATTTATCTTGATCGGTTCGTGCACAGCCAACCACTTTTGCCGATCAATTCCTTCAATGTGCATCGGTTGCTCATTACCAGTGTCTTGGTTTCTGTCAAGTTCATGGATGATATGTGAGTTCTCTTCACTTTTCTTCTTTTTTTTTTTTTTTTAGTGATTGAAATTCTTTGATCTATTCTTGTGGTTATACATGAATTATTTAGTTTTTTAGTTAGCAAAGTGGATTTAGATGTTAACTTAATTGTATTGAAGTTTGTTTTTTTGTTGGGAGCTTCCTCTATCAATTAAACTTAGAATAAATATTTTTAAAAAAAGGTCAAATTTTAAAATGTGTAGATTTGATTCATTATGTGTAATTCACACTATGCTAAATTTAAATACTCCTATATACATTAATTGAAATTCTTATGTACATACATTTCTAAAGTTAAATTGGGCTGTCATATGAATTTGTATGTAATTCTCCCACTTCAATTTGATCATTCTTTTTTCTATTTTCATTCAATTGAATTCTAGGTTTATACTTCTTTGATTTTATTTTTTTTAAAATTTCTCTTGTGAATTGACTTTCCTTAATTTATTTATTTCCTTATATCCTTTTTTTTTTCCATTGCCATCAAATGAATAAGATCTTCTTCTCTTTTTTTTTTTGACTTGTATATTTACATATGTTTGATTATTATCTTCTTTCAAAAGTGGGTAATCATATATTTATATTTTATTTTTGTTAAGACCGGGAGCTAAAGTTATGTTTGTTTTTTTTTGTAAACAATATAATTTTTAAAGTTCTGTTTAAACCCAAAAAATAATAATAATAATAATATTAGAGCATTTGTTGTCATAGAATGAATCTGGTTAGTCCACAACCAATCATGAAGTGAACACAAATAACAAAGCTAAGTTAAAGTAATAATAAATCTAGGTTAATTCTACAAACACATTAATCTGATCATAAAAGTGGTTACCCATAGCATTGTGAGTGTTTTGTGTTTAACTTTATGATTAAATAATATATAAATTATATAAAATATATTAATTATTACGCCGAGCCTAGCCGGGCTCAAAGACTAATATTTTCAATCTCAATCCATTTAATACAGAGACCTAAAAGTTAAGTTTAGCTTAGCTTAGCCTTACGAATTTATATTACATATCAATCCTAGCTTCCTAAAAATGCAAGTTTGTTAGATCATGCTCACCCACCCCTACTCTAGGTACACCCCACTCTTACTTGTAAACAATTTAATATTTTCATTGGAACACTTATTCACTTATTAAATTAACAAAACTTGTAACAAATAAAATTAAATCTTATTTTTTATCATTTATTTTTCGTTAGTAATACACATTCTAACACACTTTTAACATTCCATTAGAGATATGACTCTTAAACAAACCAAACTATTTCGTTGGAGATTGATTCGTTAAGTAAATAAGTCAAATTTAAATAAAATTTCAAATTCGTCAAATTTTCAAGTTAAGGTTGAATAACTTACCACTCGACTCAATAAACTCATATATGCACTATAAAAAAAAATCAAGTTATTCAAACTCGACTTGTATTTGGTTAGTTAAACACTCATTTGAGATTGACTCATTATATAAATAAGCTAAAGCGTATATATTATCAAATCAACAATTTACTACACGATTCGATTCGTTTTAAACCATGATTAGATCTAGAATTGTGGAAGCCAAAATGGGCGAGAAATAGAAGGCATGGCGCATAATGCGGGAGGCATGTGAAAACATGGGGTGATTTCGTAAAGATATCGAGGAGACTGAGTCCCACACCAAAGATGTAGTTGTGGTGTTGTTGGCATTGTCTTTGTCTGTCTGTCATCAATGAACACATTACCTGGATACATAAATATGCACACATGTTGTATATTACATGTATTGTCGTTATTAGCATTTTGACAGCCCCATTGAGCCCGTGCATCCTGCACAGCTGTCTTGTGTTGTGTTTGTGTTTGTGTGTGTGGTTGTGTGGAAAAGGTCACATATTACTACTATACTATTACTACTTTTCTAGTTGGCTGTTTTAATGATTTATAAAGTTTAGAAAAGGAAAAAAAAAATGTTTAAGAGAACACAGCTTTGCTTCTTCTTTGCACAATTCACGCTACTCCTTTGACTATCCCCCCAACCCACCCCATTCTTTTGCTGTGTGACAACCACCATCCATCCTATCTTCACGCCTCAATCTTTCTTTTTTATATTCTTTTTAATTTTATACTTCTAATATAATTACGCTAGAGATCTCAAAAATACAAAAATGCTAGAGATCTCAAAAATTCTACCAAAAGTTCTACCAAATGTCTCACATAGGTGTGAGACCTATTATAACCCACATTGTGTGGGTCTCACACCCATGTGAGACATTTGGTAGAATTTTTGGAATATCTAGCATTACTCTTAAAATAAGAAGGTTCGCATATTGTGAACGTTCACATCATTACATTAGATGAAAGAGAATTTTTTGAAAGGTGTTGTGAACATTCACATCAGATGAGAAAGAATATTCACATTATTTTTAATGTGTTGTTAATTAAAAATATATTCACATTATATAATAAGATAAAATAATAACATCAATATTATTTAATTTGTGTATGAAATTTCTTATGCCATGATCCTTTCCTTTATCTCTCTCCCACCTTCCTAACATTAAATATCAACATTAAATATAAGGGCATAAGAGTCTAAAAAAATAGTGTAAATCAAGAAAAAAGACTTAATGGAATAAAAGTATAAATACGTGGAACTAAGTGGGTTAAAAAATTCCTTCATAGATTTTTTGAGTTAGAACACTTTTAAATGAGATTTATCAATAAAAATTCTTTTTTGTAATTATCAATTTTGAAAATATGTTAAAAAAAAAAAAAAAAAATTGTGACAAACTTTTGAACTATCTGTTTTATATAACATAATAGTTTATGTAGAAATACCTTAAAATAATTTGTAATGCAAGTATATGCAAATTGAGTAGGGGTGCAACTCGGGCGGGCTCAACCCGAGCAACCCGAGCCCAGCCCGAGTTTTTTTAGGGTTTGGGCAACTATATCTTGTAATCTGGACGGGCTTGGGCAGATTTTTGATGCCCGAATTGCAATTCGGGCATCAAAAATCTGCCCAAGCCCGTCCAGATTACAAGATATAGTTGCCCAAGCCCTAAAAAAACTCGGGCTGGGCTCGGGTTGCTCGGGTTGAGCCCGCCCGAGTTGCACCCCTATTATTAGGTCTTAAAAATGCTTAGGATGCAATGAGTATGCTACAATGCACTCGAGAACACTTAACAAAACTTGCTTAAAACAATGGTCTTGCTCGAGCGCAACTTACTTCGCTCGAGCGGTCTATAAACTTTGCAAAAGTACTGGTTGTTTGATTTTTCCACTCGAGACTAGCTCAAGCGTGAGATTGAGGTCCTTACTTGAGCGCAACTCTTATCGCTTGAGCAGTCTGCAAAATGTATAAACTTCTGGGAGCATGCAATTTGGTGAAACGGGTGTTGCTGCTGCTTGAGCTGGCAAGTATTGCTAATCCGTGGAATAAGTCTGAGAAAATCAATTATTACTTTGTGGCAGGAATAACAATCCTGTTAAAAAAGAAAAAAGAAAATAGGAACATATGCTTTTCACCTTGAACTAGTTGGGGTGAGTTATATTGCGAGTTAGTAAGTTGTTTATAATTATTTATTTATTAATATATATTTTTTTAATTTTAAGAATTTATATGAGAATATTTGGTGTAATTTCTACTTATAATTTATAAGGGAGAAATAGTTTAAATATGAAGAAAATTAAGATTTTAAAAATTGGAAAAGAATATACTTTTAATTTTTTATTTTTTGATTATTAATTTTCAGTTTAAGAAGTGTGGTGAAAAACAGATCCATTGCTAGGATCTACATAATGACTCGTGCATCATATGAACTTTTTCATCATAGACTAACACTTGTTCACTCAATTGTTAACAGTATTTTTTGTTTTCTAAATGAATGAGTGACCAAATAGAGAATTCGTTTTTTTTTTGTCTTTTATTAGTAATTTAATTTTTTATTCTTAGCACAATAGGGCCATCCTTTTTTTAATATTCTTAATTTGTGATTTTCATGGGTTTATATGAATATAATTTCCTTCTGAATGTTAATATGTTCCTACTTTGTCTTGGAATTCTAGGTATTACAACAATGCTTACTATGCCAAGGTTGGGGGAATCAGCACAAGGGAAATGAACCTCCTTGAAGTGGATTTCTTGTTTGGTTTGGGCTTCCAATTGAACGTGACACCAAACACATTCCATACCTACTGTTGTTGTCTCCAAACAGAGATGTTGCAATTGGGATCTCCTCTAAATATAGTGAGAACACCAAAGCTCCATTGTTGCTCTAGTGAAGATGAAACCACCCATCAACAGCAATTGGCTGTGTAGTGGGTGTTTGGATGCATTTTGAACCTATATGAAGACCTAGTTTTGTGAAAACCAATGATGCACTCAAACCCATGTAAGCTCAAGGACATGTTCAAAGTCATAAGTGTATTGGCCAACAAAAAAAAGTTCCAAATTTCTCCATCTCATTGACTTTAATGTGGTATTAAGCAAAATCCATCTAATGGCATGCTCAAAGCTCATTATTAAGCTTAATCTTGCCCAATTAGAGCCCTATTGTCCTTTAATTTTCTTCTTTGTCATCTAAATTTGGACATTCTCACCTATATGGATAGTTAGAATTTTTATTGAGAAGTATAACACAAACAACATAGAGTATATATGTAAAATGAGATAACAAGACTTTAACTTGGAAAAACTTGAAATCAAATTTTGATACTATGTTAGATCATCAAACATTATATCAAGCTAACAAGATTGATATTACAAAGAGTGGTAGTTTAGCGGGTGGGAGCTCACTCCCACTGTGTTCTTTGTTCCGTACACTTGTTAGACCGGGGTTAGGTTATAACGCAAATATTTTGTGTAATGATGACATCATCTTATGTGATATCATCTACCAATAAAAAGTCATAAATAAAATTGGATGGACAAACTTTGTCTCCCACTATTTCAAGACTATTATAGGCCCTACCACAAATAAAGATCGTTAGATAATGATACCACCATATGATATTACTGTTATATTTAATATTTACTTCGACTTGAAGGAGTACTTACAATTTCCCATGTATACCTCCGCTTTGTCAAGCATTTCTAGGCCCTTCTTCCTCAGTTCCTCAAAAGGTAGAGACTTATTTGGTCACTTCCAATGAAAGGACACTTCGTCAAGAATAATATTAGTAATCATGAAAAAAATATTATAAAATATATCATAAAGATTTTACATCATTTAATTAGTGTGTCGTATTTTATTATATATGTAATCCAAATATAAAAAATCTTTCATAATCATTTTCATAATATGTTTTTCATAATTCTTAACATTACTCCATTGTCAAGCATGTCTAGGCCCTTTTTAAGTTCCTACGCAACTCTTTATGGCTATGTTTGGTAGGGCTTATTTCCAACTTATTTCAGCTTTTAACTTAATTTAAGCTATTTTGATGTGTTTGGTTCAGTTTAACAATACAGTTTATAACTTTTTGTAAGTCAAAAATCAACTTATTCTTTGAGTAGGGGAGGAGAAGCTTGATTTATAAGTAAAAAATCAGCTTATGTTCACAATTTAAGCTATTTTGATGTGTTTGGTTCAGCTTAACAATACAGTTTATAACTTTTTGTAAGTCAAAAATCAACTTATTCTTTGAGTGGTGGAGGAGAAACTTAATTTATAAGTAAAAAATCAGCTTATGTTCACAGCTATAAGTTATAAGCTGTTAAGTTATAAGTTATAATCAGTTTCCCCCAACTCTACCAAACATGGCCTATATTTGGTTCCTCAGCGGGGAGATACTCCTTTGGTCACTAGCAAGGAAAGGAAAATTGCTACATGCAAGATTGATCTTTTTTTTGATATGTAATGCAAGATTGAAATGTTTTGGCAATAGTTAAAAAGTTAACTTTTTTTTCAAACTATTTTGTCTTTAATTAAAAATTTTAAATGTGTCACAAAATTTTATTTTATTTATTTTTTTATTTTATTTTTAATGAAATTTTTAAATTATTCTTCAAGGTTTTTAAATCTGTTCAATTACTAAATGTGAAGTCTTTTTTGAAATTTTTAAATAAAAAAAATACTAAAAAAAAAAGAGTTAAAAAATCCAATTACCAAACCCATCCTGAACTTAGCTTAGATTTCCCTGAATGGTTAGGCTCCGTTTGTTTTGAGAGGTAGAATAGAGGAGATTCATAATGAGGGGATTGTTAGTGAGGAGATTAAGTAAAATTGTGTTTGTTTTGATGATAATTGTTAGTGTAGGAATTGTTAAATTTTTTTATATAAAATAATAAAACAAATAAAAAAATATAAAAAATTAAACATTAATATTTAAAAAAAAATTCCCAATATATAAAAAATAAAAATAATAATAAAATTTCTAATCCCCTCACTATTTTTCTAATACCATCTCCCCAACCTCCATCTCAATCCCCTCCCAACCTCCATCTATATCACCTCTACCATCCTAATTCCCTCCCTAACTCTACAAACAAACACAATACTAAATAACACCTCCACCATCCTAATCCCCCTTCCATCTACATAACCCAAAACAAACGGGCCCTTAGAGATCTCTCCACGGGTGCCAACTTTGCACAAAGGTCTAAAATATAGGAGGGGAATTATGGCAATGCTTATGTATTCACCTTTTAGTTATGTTATTATTTTTTTAATTATAATTAATTTTTGTTAATTATGACCTTAATTTAGTTATAATTTAAAATTATATAATTATATAAATTTCTTCTTTAGTTATAAAGTGCATACGGTTATACCATAGTCTTTTTCCGATGTCTCTTCCAAAATTTGGATTGGAGAGGGTTGTGTTAGGCCTGTGGGGCCCATTACGAGTGTCGTTTCAATAATTTAAATCGTTCATTTTGTTAAGTATTTCGTGTATTTCATTTACAAAAAAAAAAGAAAATTAATCTGATAACTGCTACTTGTTCAATTTATTATTTTTGTCATAAAAAAATATATGATTTATTTTTTTTAAACATAATTATTGTCCAATTTTTTTTAGTGAAAACTACAGTAAATTGAACAAGATACACTTATCGGATCAACCTATTTTTTTGTTTTTGTTTTTGTTTTGAATAAAATACATGAAATGCCCAACAAAATAAATAGTTCAGATCATCAAAACAAGACCCGTCGTGGCCCACACTGGTCCAAATAGCCCCCTCCAGTTTAGATTTTGGATTGGAATGAAGCTTCCTCTAACATATAGGGATAAGCTCTCCTTCATATTTCATCTGTTCATACCTCTCCACACTTTTCTTATAGATTTTAATCTGAGTCCGCATAGATGATCTGAGCTGTTTATCTTGTAGGCCTCACAATAAAAGTCATCTATGCAAAAGATCAACTAATCAAAAAATTATAAATACAAAAATAAAGTGCATTTTGTTTTATAAAATGAATGGTAAGTATAATTAAATTTGAATAATCTATTTTATATAACAAAATGCAAGTGGTTCCTATAATTATAGTTGTCTGATGAAGCTAATTTTTTACATTGATGACCTTTATTACGGGGCCTATGAGATAGATAGTTCGGATCATCAATGCTAGTCCAAATTAAAACCTACAAGAAAGATAAGGAGAGATATAGAGAGATGAGGTATGTAGGGGATCTTATCCCTAAAATATAATAGGAAAAATAATTTTTTTTTTTAAAATGTAGGATTTGATCCTTAAAACAAAATAAATTTAAGATTTTAATTTTATCAATTTAACTACTAAATTTATTTATTTATTTTCAATTCAAATTATTTGCCTATTTTCGTGTTGTAAAACGATGAAAAAAATGATATTTTAATCATTAAGTTCAACGAAAAATGATATTTTAGGCATTTTATGTACACTTACATTGAATTTAATGACAAAAATACTATTTATTCGTCAATTTTACTTGACAAAAATAAGCTGATGGTTTAGATTGAAAACAAATTAAAAGATTAGGGTCTAAATTGATAAAATTAAAAATACAAGAGTCTTGTTTGGGGAGTGGTTATAATAACCAAAAAGTTACTGAAAGTTGTTACATCAGTCTCTCTACTTTTTTGCACATCATTTTGTAAAAAATCAAAAAACCAATTAAAATAACCAATTCTCAAACGAATTTTGTGGTGTTTTGAGAAGTTGGTAAAAAATTGATTTTTTTTGCTTTTTGTGACTTTTTTGACTTTTTTATACAAAAAAATAGAGAGTTGATGTGTTTTAAAAAAATCAAAAAACTAAAAAGTTGATTTTTTACCAGCTTTTCCAAAGGGGCTCTTTGTTACAATGGTCAAATTCTAAGATTTTTTTGTAATTTTCCAATTTTATATTATAAGCGGATTGTCTTGCAAATTTGCAACGTTGGTAAATCACAGAAACAGAGTACAAGAATTTTGTTTGTAGTGTCATCTTTCTTCTCTGGAAACGAAAGTTCGGCCTTTTCAATCTTATTTGGTACGCCTGCACATGAGCAACCTCAATTATGAGAACTCCGAGCAACCCTGCTTGGTAATTTTTTTATGTTTTTGTTGGCTACATATTTTGTAAAAGTCAGTTACAGTTCGACACGTGGCAGAGTAAGGGTAATAAAGGAAGGTTATTCAAGCCTTTAATCCTGATCGTACACGTGGCAATAAATATTGGTCCTCACATGATCTGAGAATTTTTTATTTTTTATTTTTTTTTGATAAGGTAAAAAAAGTTAGAATAATTTTTTTTTGTTTGTTATAAAAAAAAATAAAATAAATTTGATTGATATGTATAATATAATATTTTAACTTTTTAAATTTTTTTGTAACTTTTGTTTTAGCCTTAAGTCAAAACCAAACAAGCCCTTAATATCGTTATGATGAGGTGGATGAGCACAATTTCCGGAGCTATTTTGGCCATCTGTAACCACGAACATAGTGAGTGTTCATCGGATGATTTTAGATTCTAATGTTTATCCTTTTCTGAAGTGATTTAGATCATAAACAACTAAGGGATAGACCCTTTTTTTTGTTTTTTGGCCGCGGGTGGGTGGTTGTGGGGGTTAAAAAATAAAATAATTAAAGAATATTAGAATATTAGAGATAATTTTGGCAATAATTAATTAAAGCAAATAAAATAATTAAAGAAAATGACAAAATTAAGCATTACAGTACTTCTGCAAATGATTTATAAATAAGTTTGTGATTGAAGCCAGTGTTTGAATACTATGTCTTAAACATAGAATTTCATCATCTCCAAGGGTGCTTGAGAATAATGAACGCCTTGTCTCCTGACACAACAATTACCATAAATGAATAGAGCACACTCTTTGATTGTACAGTGAACTAAAATTATGTTTTGCACTCACATAGATGAAGAATACAAGAAGAATGCTTAAACTTGAGTAATTTGAAATTAAAAAATTGGAATAGGGTTGCTTTTATATAGGCTTGTTAGTACCTATTCCGTTTGAAAAGAAAAGACACGAGGAAGGGACATGTCTCTTCTTTTAAAATAAAGAGACACCATGAAAGGATTGTACCATTTTTATTCAAATGGAGTGTTGCACCATTTCGATCAAATATAGTCTATTTCAATTCACCACTACCTTTATAAATTTTCCAACATAGAATTCTATCTGCAATTGGGCATCGAACCACTTGTGATCAATGTCATTAAAATCATGATCGTATGGAGAATTGTGGATCAAATTTTAGAATCACATTGTAAAATTTTTATTTTCCATGTAAATTTTTTTTTTTTTTAATCAATAGTAATAATGTATGTTAAATAATTTTAAAATTATTAAAATATAATAAATTTTATATAATGAATCTCTTGTGCTAACGTAAATTAAAGAAGATACTTGAAGAGAGTTTATAGTCAATTTTTATATAGATACGCATATATAAGAACAATAAATCTAAAGTGCACACAAAAGACCAAATACAAGTAGGGTGGCCCATTGGTCACGGGTGCGCTTCCTGTGGACTGGGTGAAGATTGTTCCTCGTCCTTTGAAGGAGTTATTACGTGCAGTTTTCTCAGTGTAGCCTTTTGGCACCTTCCAGCTCAAAAGAAGAAGGGAAATACAAAAAAAAATGTTTCATAAGGGATGGGATCCGCGTGATGTGGGCCCTCTTTGTATAATATCTAGGCATGTAATTGATTCGGTACGATTGATATTTAGATAAAAAAAAATTCCAAATCAATAATATCGATTTTATTATTTTGAATATTGATACAGACCGGTTCTCTCATCAAAGCACACCGAACTGCACAAATTGAAAACGGTTTAATTTGATGCGATTTAATTGATTTTAGGACTTTTCAAATTTGAACCACTCTATGTAAAAACATTGAATTAGTTAATTTGTCTATTATTTCAAACATATCCAATCTACCCATTTAATAAGAACCTTCTAATTCCTAGATCAACAAAAATACAAACAAAAATTATAATGATAATATATGCTAAAATTTCAATAATAATAAGTTTGAATTAAGATTATATATAATAAGGATTTACTAAGCTAGGTAGTAGGGATGATAATGTTAATATCATTATTATTAGATTCTATATATTATAAATATATTATATATTAAAGTAGTCGATTTTGATTTAATTCGGTATACAAGATGTTTAAATTAGTACCGAACTAAGAGTTGAAAAAAAAATCAAATTAAAAAACCACACAGACCAAATAAGGCCGGTTTGGTTCGGTTCAATCGGTTTGATTGATTTTTTTAGTTTTTCTTACAACTCTAATAAGATTTGTGTACCCATTCTATATTTGGACTCTATGCTCCTAGCGTTGCTCATATAAGAAATAGCATATAAAAAAAAAGAAAAAAAAATAGTAGGATGGGGATTGTAGTACGATTTTACTTAATATTATGACTGGAATTGTAATTATTTTAAGATTTTACCAAATTTAAAATCCTAATGCGATGTGGATTGTCTAGCCCAACAAAGATTGTAGAATCTTATGATCCAAATCGAAATTCTGATAATTATACTTGTGATATGGATCCTATTGTGATATCCATGAGGCCTCTTGAGTCCAGTAGAATAGGAAAACAATCATATTAATAGGTAATTATTCAATATTTTTAGAATGCCATGTACTAGAATTGGAAAAGAATCATATTAACAAGTAATTATTTAATATTTTTAGAATGCCATGTACTAGAATTGGAAAAGAATCTTATTAACAGGTAATTATTCAATATTTTTAGAATGTCATGTGCTAACATTATTTATGTAATGCTGTAGAGCATCTCTAATATTATTAGGCATTTTGACTATTCAAAGGTTATCATAAGGTGTATAATTTTGTCTATCTATTTTTAAAATTTTTATTCGTACACTATTCACTTTGTTTGGTTGTTGTTTGTCAAACTCATTTTTTTGAAAATTTTAGAGTACTTGTTTGGTTATTTAGATAAAAAAATACTCTCATCTTAGTTATATATATATATATATGTACACGCTATATATGTATGAAAACATAATTCGTTATGTAGTCATTTATGGATGCATATCCTACCATTAAATGTGTGATTTTATCATAAAATTTGCACTCATTTCAATCACAAAAAACGTAATTTTTTTACAAATTGGCGTTAAAAAAAAATCGTAACTAACTTACAAACTTTTGCAACATGAAGTACAAAAAATTTGGACATTTTGTTATGCCAATTTCAATCGATGTTACACCCATATGTGTTAATGTTACGATATTCTGTGATAAAATAAATTTTCTTCAGAACATTTATGAAAATTTAATTCTACATAAGAAATTTTTTAAAGCCAATTTGGAAAATTTTTTTACGTTTTCTGTGGTTGAAATGAGTACAAATTTTATGATAAAGTCACACAATTAATGGTAGGATATATACCCATAAATAACTACATACCAAATTATGTTTTCATACATATATAACATGTACATATATATATATATATAACTAAGATGAGAGTATTTTTTGATGTGACAATTTTTTTTTTTTCAAAATTGTCCCCCTCCTTAAATCGGAAGGAAACTTGAAATTGCAATGATGCATTTTTTGAAAACCAAACAAAGATCCTTTTTTCAAAATACAATTTTCAAATCACTTTTTGAAAAAATTATTCAAAAAAATGGAACCAAACATAATGATTACTATTTATTTCAATTATTCATTCAAATACAATTCAATTAATGGAATGACACCAACACTAAAGATGGAGGAAAAAGATGAATGGTCAAGTACATTTTGCCGAGCATTTGAAAAAAGTGAGTTATATTCAACATTTTAGCTAATAGGATAATAGAAAATTTTATGAGTTGGACAATATTAGCTCACTTTTATTTTGTAGTTCGGAGATAAGAAAAGAATCACTAGTGTATTTTGCGATTTCTCATTTGTCAAAAATATCATTAAACAATGTAATGTTGTGCTCCAACACTATTTTTGACTAATATATTTACAAATTATGAGTCAAATTACACTTTAGTTTGATCCATATTTTATTTTGATCATTACAGTATCAATTTGAATAATTTGATCCATATACTTTACATTCATATTCAACTTGATCGTTCTATTTATATTGAAAGTTAAAATTAATGATTTTAAGACATTTGTCAACCTTTTAAGGTGTATGCGTATAAAAAATTAATGAAAACTCAACGATTTTAGAATCCTTATCAACTTTCTAAGGTGTATGTATAAAAAATTAACGAAAAATTTAGATAAAATAACCAAATGAAATTGGATGTAAAGTGTTGACTGAATTGTTCAAATTGAAACTATAAAAATCAAAATACAATTTAAATTAAATTGTAAAAGTGAAAAAGTATAGTTTATTCATGAATTCAACCTATAACCTTCAAATAAAACGGAGACATGCTCATTTTCTCTTATATTTTATTTTACAAAACATAGTCATGTATTGATCCAACAATCATAAATTTTATTTTATTTTGTTGTTTTAACACAATAAAATAAATATATTATAATTATTGAAACAGTCTAAAATAAATAATTCAAACCATTAAAACGAGACTTGTGATAAGTCTCATAGAATCTCAAGTTGTCTCAAATTTAATTTCAACTTAAAATAAACCTATCCTTACTAAGATTTTGTTTTAGCTCTCATTAGGCTATCTCCAATCTAGACTCATATTTTTCATCAAATTTAAATTTGATAAAATTTGGTTAAAATGGTATTCCAACCATTTCACTAAATTGGTATTAAATGAAGGCAATCATACTTTTTTCATCAAATGAAGAGAGCATTTAATCTTTTATCAAATTTCGTAAGTAACTATTGGTGGACAACCAGATTTGATGAAAATTTACACTAGGTCAGACGACTGACTAGATGATTGAGCGTACGACCGACCAAATTTGACATACCGAATCAAATTCTTTTTCAAATTTAATGAAAAAATTGAGTAAACGTTAGAGAATAGTTGAGCCAATTTTGATCATATTTTATTGGTGCAAGAAGAAAAACAAAGCTTTCGTTTGAGATGTGGGTTGATTTTTTGACTATTTTAACCTGAGGCTAAAAAGTCTCGTTTGGGATTAGTTTTTTATTTTTTTGATTTTGTGAAAAAAAGAATGAAATAATTATGGTTTAAATGTGACATTTTGTCTTATTAACTTTTTAACCTATTTTATTTTTTTATGACTAAAATAGTCAAAAAAAAAAACTTATGCCAAACATAGCCAAAATAGGACTATCCTAGTTCTGGTTGCACCACAACATTTATTTATTTATTTTTTGAGATAAAATTACAAACACACCCTAAAGTTTGTTTATAAAATACTTTATAGTCAGAATTTTTTATTTTACAAAACTAATAGAAAATTTTTATTTAATAAAATTAATAAAAAAATAAAATTTTAATTACTCTCTTATAAGTAATAATAAAATTATCTAAATCATTACTCTTTCTAATATAATTAAAAATTATTAATTAATTTAATAATTTATTAATAAAAACAAGTAATTTATTATGCAATTATAAAGTTGAAAAAGGTAAGATATAATTTCAAAATCACATAAATTAATTTATTTTAAACGAATCTAAAATGACGTATTGTTATTTAAATTTTTTTTTTTTGAGAAAGAATAATACTATATGTACAATTAATATACTAATTAGTGTATTAATTGATAATGTGACTTATCAATAAAAATCCCTATAATTTAAGAGAGATTTTTAATATTTGTAATGTGATTAATAAATGGAGTCAATAATAATGTCATAACTAGTATTCATACACTAATTTGTATACTAAGGCCTCGTTTGGCAAGTAATTTTTTTAGCCAAAAAGTTAAAAAGTCACTAAAAAAATTAAAAAGCCAACAACTCATATAAAAAAATCAAAGATTCTTTTCTCTCTCTACCTTTTGCATATCTTTTCGTAAAAAGTCAAAAAATCATCCAAAACATATTAATTTTTTTTTACATCATATTTTAACTAAAAAATCAAAAAGTTATTAAAAACAATTCTGGTCGCAAACGAGACCTAATTGTTTTATACGTAGTCCTTTGCGCGGGAGCGTGAAATCCGAATTTTGAAATTATAAATAGAGTCGGTTTAGAAAGCTTCCACATTCGATTACAGTAATTGAATCCTACGAGGATTCTAATAATTCATAACCCTACATCTCTATAAAAGGCATTCTAGGGTTTGTGTGCATGAGAGAGAGAGAGAGAGAGCGCTTCAAAGGACCCAAACCCATCTCGTGCTGCTTTGTGGGTTTGGTGTGTCCCCAATGGTGTTCAAGATATGGGACTAGGGTTTGTGAAAGAGAGATTCAAGTGTATTTGGCAACTAAAAGCATTGGGTAAGTTTTCTTCTTCAATTGTTCTGTGCTTTCAATCTATGAAGTCTGAATGTTGATCCCCCAACTAAGTTATTTATTAATTATCTTTTTGTACTTCAATCTTATGGTCTTTTTGCATCCCTAACCATTATTCTAACTTTTTTGTGATTACTAATTTATTTATAAGAATTGAAGAGAAGCTATAAGCCTCCACAATGTTGGGTTTTTTCCACTAGTCACAATCTTGAATGGGGCCACATCCATTTACACATTGAAACCCCCCCCCAAAAAAAAACACTATCTTGATGAGTAAGATATACTGTATTAATCTTTTATATACTGTAGATAGATAGTGGCGCTAGATGTGTGTTTATTTATTTATTTATAATTATTTTACAACACATTGTTTACAAGAAACACTTACTATCTCCTTTCTCTCGCAAATAAAAATTAGGAAAATTGATGATTTATGGTGATTCAAACAAAAATTGGAGATGATTTATAAGGATTTATGTTAAAATTGATATATTTTTATTTGTTATTATTTGTGCTAAAATTACAAGAGTTACATCACTATTGTGCGTCGAGTTATTCTACATTGTTATATAATTTTGATTTGTTAATTACTTATTTGTAATGAAAATTTAAGTTTTCATGTTTAATATTTGTTCAAAAATATTTTTACCTTATTGTTGTTGATTATGAGAATAAAAAAAATTGAGATTTTAATTAATAGATGGTGCTACTTACTGTAGAGTACGAACATATGACTTGAAGTACCCTAAACTAGGGGTGGGGATGATTTGTCCATCTTACCCATCCCAAGTTGGGATTGCTTTTTCGACCCTTCTATTAAATGGGTTGGGCTTGTGATTGTTTCTTGTGACCTAGTGTGGCTTGGCTAGACTCTATTATTAATGTATATTATATATATCATGAACATGTATTTTTTATTTGTATAATTTACTTAATTTTATTATTGTTTAAAAATATGCATTTAAAATATATTTAGGTCTCGTTTGGCAAGAGGCTATTTTAGCCAATTAGTCAAAAAGTTATTAAATTAGCCAAAAAGCAACAATCCATATCAAAAAGTCAAAGATTCTCTTTTCTCTCTACTTTTTCCATATCTTTTCGTAATTAGCCAAAAAGTCATCTCAAACATATAAGTTTTTTTTACCTACCTTTTTAGCCAAATAGCCAAAAAGTTACTAAATTAGCCTGTTCCCAAACGAGGCCTCCCAAACGAGGCCTTAGGCCTCGTTTGGCAACCTTCACTTTTAGCAAAAAAGTCAAAAAGTCACTATAAGTTGTCATATTACTCTCTCTATTTTTTTACACATCTTTTCGTAAAAAGTCAAAAAATTACTAAAATATCCTATTCCCAAACGAGGCCTTAATTTCATATTTAGGATATAATGGTTAAATATTAAGTTTTGTATCTATTCATTACAAATTTATTAATTTTTAATTTTATAATATTTGTTTTTAGTTAATATATATTAAATGGATTTGTTATTATAATGCCATTCAAGGTTGGGGCTGGGAGAGGTTGAATGTTCAAAACTTGAGCAGGGCTTGGCTTGGGCACAAGAGTTTTTTTGTGTATTTTTTAACTTGGGTCCAGTTTGGTGTTTGTTCACTCTCTCCCCAAACGCAACATCAATATTTGAATCTTGAGTTTGCTCAAGGGAAACTAAGCCTTGTAACAAAGATTGAATGCTCAAAACTTGGGCAGGGCTTGGCTTGGGCACAAGAGTTTTTTTTTTTTGTATTTTTTAACTTGGGTCTAGTTTGGTGCTTGTCCGCTCCCTCCCCAAATGCAACATCAATATTTGAATCTTGAGTTTGCTCAAGGGTAACTAAGCCTTGAAACAAATCTACCTTCTCTGATCACTCGGTACTTTTGGCATTTTTCCTTCTCCCCTACATTTCTACTAGGGGTGCACAAAATTCTTAAAAAACTTGAAAATCGAATCAACTTGACATTTATGGATTGCTTTGTTTTGATTTTTTCAATATATGGATTTGATTTTTGGTCTTAAAATCATTAATCTGATAGGATTGAGTTTGGTGTTGGTTTAGGTACCTAAATCGAACCAACCTGAGACCTGAACATATATGTTTGGGAAGAGTTTTTTTTTTTTGTTTTTTTAAATAGGTTAAAAAACCAAAAAAAAAACAAATCCAGACAAAATATCACATCAAACTCACAATTATTTCACTTTCTCTCACAAACATCACATCTAAGTACAAAAAAATTCAACTATTTTCCCAAACACAAAAAAAATTTTCTCCAAAAATAATCAAAAACTAAAAAATCCTACTAAAATAACAACTTCCCAAACACCCACATTGTATAAAATTCTATTGATGTTCACATATCTTCATGTGATTGGTTTATTGCAAATACAAAGGTGGACTTGATTGCACCTGATCATTTCATATATGATAAAAGCTCAAGCTCCTTAAAATTCATTCATTACCTTCATCCAAACAACTCATTTACGTAAACTAGATAATCTATTCACATTTTTTTCACATTGGCTCATTAACAGTTAACATAACATGAGTATTCAGAGGTAGCTCAAACTTACTTAAGGCCATAGGCAAAAAATTTAAGTTAGATCATTTATAAATTTACATTGTAATTCTTTATTTCAAAATTACAAGTTTTACTAATTGATAGAGAAAAGTACAATTTAATTTTTTGGTAAATTTCACTTTACCCCCTTATGATTTGGTCAATGTGCAGATTACCGCCCTGTCATTTGGAAATAACTACATAACGATAATCTCCATGTGGCTTGCAGACTAAAGCGCATTGTTAGCTTTTTTGTCTAACATAACGGGATGTGAGAACCACTGACCTATGTGGAGAGGAGGTTCATTTTCAAGATGGAAATACCCCTTACACAACTTCAAATTTATTAGAAATGCCATTCTTTTTTCTTTCTTTTGACCGTTTCTCTCTATGCTTCATGTTCTCCATAGCCATCAATACCTCCTATACTTGTTGGAAAACATTAGAATAACCCTTTGGCCCATATAAATGCCCCTGTTGGGTTGTAAAATGAGCTCACATCGTTGAATATTATCATCCACAACCCCTGTTTCTTTCTCTACGGTTATAAAAGTAATTCTAATTTTTTTTTTGATAAATAATAGAAGTAATTCTAATTTAATTATGATAATAGTTATACATATATATAAATGGCTATCATGGGTTAAAATGTGATGTTGAACTTATTGTAATTATTCATATATATACACATACATAGCTATTGCTCATATTTTGTTTGTTTGTTTTTTATATTTTTTTATAGCAAAGAATAGTTAAACTAGTTGTTGAACACTTTGCTCTAAGTCAAAATTAAATATAAAAATAAATAAATATTACAATGGGTGCAAGCAAGGTTGTTAAAATTGGGATTCTGGGTAGGATCGGTGAGAGGGTCTCGTGGATCGGATCGAGGATTGTAAGATCATACTTTCTATTAAAATAAGGTAAGAATACAAATTAGAATTATATATATTGAAAATAAGGTAAAAAATTACAAAATCAACAATCCTATGTACAATCCTACACTATCCTACTTGCGATCTTGTTATAACAGTGATACTACAACGATCTAGATCGTTTTAGCAATGAATCGTGATTCTAATAACCATAGGTTTGTGATAAGATCATTCGAAACTCATGATTTGATAGTGTTTGTTGTGGGAATGGGTTGCATCAGGTGGAGGTTGGCAACCATGGAAAACAAAGACTTTAAATTAAAAAGTAAAATAAAATAAAAGTTGTAGTCAGTGCAAATTTTTGATTAGGTTGTTGGGAAGTTGTGATTGGGTGGTAGTGGTCGTTTGGTGAGAATAGGTTGTGTGGAGTAAGGGTTTGTAGCCATGGGAGGAAAAGGGGAGTACATATATATATGTTTGTATAGGTTTAATTTTGAAGAAAGGAGGAAGAAGAGGGCATAAAGGTCAATTCATATGTTTTGTTAATAGAAGTTAGTGTACATTTTAGTCCACATACTCAGTGGGGTTATGTGGTTATTTCTACATGACAGGATGGTGATTTGCAAATTGACCAAACCACATTAGACTGGTCCCAACTTTGCATATCAGCATTTCGATCGTCAACCCGGGTTACTTTGATTGACCTGACCGGTCCCATAATGGACTCAAGCCAGCTGGCTCCCAACTAGCCCTGCTTGGTCACTCAACCGAACCGTTTGCAGAATGGGTGCGAGCCCACCAAGTTCTTGACGATCCATTCTTGATTGGTCAACTAGGCCAACATACTGGGCCACAACTTAGGTCCATTGCGGGACTTAGGCACAACCCGACAGCTCAACGATCCATGTCTGCCCGGTCATAATTGCTCCCACAATAATATTTTTATATTAAATTAGAGCAACCCAAACTTTTTTAGATAAACTAGGCTTGTGCTTGGACAAGCAAGTTTGAGTTTTGTCCTAGTTTATATAAAAATAATATGATAATGGCATTATAAAAATATATACTACTTTAATATGTTTTTTTTGTTTAAAATGGTATATTCCAGACTTACTATATTATTCTGTATTGGTTTTATGTATAATTTTTTAATATGTATATAAATTACTCTTTTTAAATATTTGGTCATAAGAAACATATAATATTATCTTTTCAGATATGAATTGTCACAGTTGTATTGAGTTTGTGAGTTTAAGTCTCGTGTAGTGTTGAGGTTAGAGTAGGTCTTTCTAAGTTAGAGTAGGTCTTTCTCTTGATGTAACAATAATAATTGTCATTAGCAAAAATAATTTGTATGAAAATAATTTTTGAAAATAACTTTTATGATTTTTTTTTAATTTAAAAAAGTACACAAATTCAAAAATTATGTAACGCCTGTCTTTTCTTTTTCGTTCCTCCCTAATCTTTTCAAATGTTCTCATACTTCTGCACTGCATGGTGGCTGTTAGCAGTAGCAAACACTATCACATTTCAATGTGAATAAGGTGATTCAAGTAAAATTCGCTTATGTTTTCCTTTGCTTTTGTTTCCAAAAATGAAACACCCTTCTCAAGTAAGCCAAATAGTTCTTATTTAAGCCTTAATATTGAGTTAATTTCTTCTCTTGAATACTTTGCTTTCCTCTTAGTTTTTACATTACTTGTTCTTATAGTATTATCTATCGCTGCTTTTCTTTTAGTGAGTAGAGTTTGTTTTTCCTTTATTTTTTTCTGCGTTAATCTGCATATGGATTTATCTTTCTTGTGGTTCTGGGAATACGTATAAGATGTAAATGTATATTTATGATTCATTGTGTTTGTTTTCCATAGTTCTTGGGTAATTGTGTGTTTGTGTGTCCTCTCTTTATTAATTCTAGCTGCATTTGTGGGTTAAAGTAAACATATACAAGTGTTGTGTTTTCGGTTCAATTGTTGAAATAATGTAACGTGATAGTGATTTTTTTTTTGGTGTTTTTTCTTAGTTCTTGGATAATTGCCCTTGTGTATTTGGGTGAATTTCATCGAAGTTAAAATGCCAACAATGAGTTTGTTAACCGATCTTTCTAGTCTTCCCCCAAAAAGACAATTTGACCATAGTGGATGTCAGTATTGGGGTTTCCCCCCGAATTTCAAGCGTCCAAAGTTTGATGCGATCCGTGATTTTCCCAAACATTTTGGTGCTACTGGAAATTCTAAAATTGGGGAAGAGTGGGTTGTATCTGTCGAGCCATCAGAAATTTCAGTAACAAGTGATATGAAATCTGAGTCTACCGAGCCAATGGTGTCATCACATGATAATGTCGAAGAACTGCCAACAATGAATTTGTTGCCTGATGAAAGGCCTCTTTCTAAGCTGTCCGGGAAAATACTATTTGATCTTGGTGGGTGTCAGCGTAGAGGTTTTCCACCGAACTTCAAGCGCCCAAAGGTTGATGCGATCCGTGATATTCCAAGACATTGTTGTGTGCTTACCCCTCAAATCACTGAAAAACCAAGTGAATGCATCTCAGTTGTGGCAACCACTGGAGACTCAAAAGTTGGGGAAGAGGGTGCTGTTGTACCTGTCAAGCCTTCAGGAATTTCAAAACCAAGTGATGTGAAATCTGAGTCCACTACAGCAGCGGTTGCTGGTGAAAAGGTGGTGTTAAAAACCCCAGATGACTCTAAATTGACCAATGTAACAGCAAATCTTGCTGAAGCTAAATCAATTGATACTTTGGATATTTTAAAATTATTGTCTCTACCTCGGCCACTTGTTCGAAAATATCCTCCCCTAAAGATCCGGAAAGGGATTCCCGTCTATCGTACATATCCTCCAGGTTGTCGAATGCTGAATCATCCTTCCAAATCTAAGATTTTGGTGAATAAGTCTGGTGTGGAACACAGGCCACTGGTGGAGACAACAACTGTCGGGAAACAATTCGAAGTGCAAATTCTAGATGTGCATGGTCTTGAGAGGAATCTAGAAGTGAATGCTTTAAAAGAAATGGCAGACAAAGTTCAAGCCAAATCTACAGAGATTATTGGCAGTGAAAGTTGCAAACAAATCCAAAGCAGAACATCTTCTGAATTTAAAGTGAAACAAGATAATAAAGTGGAAACCGGCAATGTATCTCCTTCAGAGATTATTTTGTTGCCTCCAGATTCTATGTGCCAGACTGTCAATACCAAAATCAAAGAGGACAATGGTTTGGTTGGAAGAATGGGGAAGGAACTTGAAGAATACTGTGAGGACACGGATGTTAAGGATGGAAGTGATATGGTCATATGGTCACAAGCAGCACAACATTTTGATCTGAAGCCTCTTTCTTGTGATTGGGCAATTGCTAAACAGGAAGGAGAATGGGTCTTTAATTGTGAACCTCTTGAAGCTACATGCGGATACAAAATTCAGAACCATGAGGTTTATGATGCAGGTGAATCTAATTATGTTTTATTGCAGAATCAGGATATAGCAGAAGCTTACAAACAGGATTATACAAAGGAGAACTCTCTCTTTCTCAGTGAAGAATCTGCTAATCAATATGAGGACACACCATTTGGTGATAAAGAAAACCATAAACATATTGTGGCCAAAGAATCAAATGTTCTTAGCATAGTTCCATTTGATGACATCCAAGCAATTGATAGTCAGAATAAGGTAAGGGAGGCACTGGATCTGTTTGATGAGATATTTACAAAGATCTTGGAAGCACAGTCAAAGGAAAAAGGAAATGCTGCCAAGCAGATTCATGTGGAAGCAGCAAATCTTCTTAAAAAGCAGCAAAAGTGGGTTAATACTGAACGGTTATTAGGACCTGTCCCCGGTGTTGAAGTTGGTCATAAGTTTCGATTTAGGGCTGAACTTCTTGTTATTGGGCTTCATCATCAGTTTCAGTCAGGTATAGATTACATGAAGAAAGATGGGAAAATTTTTGCCACAAGCATTGTTGCCTCTGGTCGTTATGCCAATGATGTAGGGTCTCCTGATGTTCTGAAGTATTGTGGCCAAGGTGGAAATCCAACGTCTGGATGTAAGGAGCCTAAAGATCAAAAACTTGAACGAGGTAACCTTGCCTTGAAAAATAGTATGGATGCAGGAACACCGGTAAGGGTTATCCGTGGTCGCCAAAATTTGAAATCTTCTAATATTCTTGGTAGATACGTCTATGATGGGCTGTATATTGTGGCTAGTTGTAAGCAAGAAAGAGGGGAATATGGCAAATTGGTTTTTATGTTTCATTTGAATAGAATACCTGGGCAACCGAAACTGACTCCGGAAATACTTAGCATGTCAGCAAAGTCTAAAGTACGCAAGTTACCTAGTGGGGTTGATGATATTTCTCAAGGGAAAGAGAAGATGCCCATTCATGTAGTCAACACCATGGATGATGAGAAACCTCCACCATTCGTTTACATTACCAATATGATATATCCCGAGTGGTATAACCGTGCTATTCGTATTGGTTGTGATTGCAAAAATGGATGCTCATATTCTAAGAAATGTCTTTGCACCATCAAGAATGGAGGTGACAATCCATTCAATTGTAATGGCGCTGAGCTAAAGCCTCTTGTTTATGAGTGTGGTCCATCTTGCAAATGCTCTTCTTTTTGCAAGAATAGAGTTAGCCAACATGGTATCCGATATCAATTAGAAGTTTTCAAGACTAAATCACGGGGATGGGGTGTTAGATCTCGCAATTACATTTCGTCTGGAAATTTTATTTGTGAATATGTCGGAGAGTTGCTCCACGACAAAGAAGCAGAGCAAAGAGGTGATAATGATGATTATTTATTTGATATAGGACATGGAAATGATGATAAGTTTCCCCAAGATGAAGCTTTGGATGATGACGGCTTTACTATTGATGCAATGCATTTTGGGAATGTGGGAAGGTTCATCAACCATAGTTGCTCTCCGAACCTTTGCGCCCAAAACGTCCTTTATGATCATGATGACAAGCGTATGCCTCACATAATGTTCTTTGCTACTAGAGGCATATTTCCTTTACAAGAGTTGACTTACGATTACAACTATAAGTTGGATCAAGTTCGTGATGTCAATGGCAATATAAAGAAGAAGAATTGTTATTGTGGTTCTCTCGAGTGTTGTGGGAGGATGTATTGATGAAGAATCTCGTATGCTAGTCTAGCTTGATCTTTAAGAATGTAAAACTGTCATTTTTTCACTATTTGTTTTAATTTTTGTCTAGTGCATTTTATGAGTTATTTTATTAGATTTGATGAGCATATAGCCCTTGATAGGGTAGAATGATGAAAAAGAATTCATGTAGCTGACGTCACTTGAGTGGCGACAAAAGGCTTAGTTTGGTTGTATTTTATTGCATTTGATGGTTTTATATTGCTTTCCATGTTTAATGTTGTATACGTTTTGAAAGTTTTGAAGGTGGTAAGGTAAATAGGACAGAAAAAAGAAGCATTGAGTGCTTCATTCTTATTGTTTACTAATTGTTGTAGATTGTTCTTTTGTTTATTATTGTTATTATGTTTTTAAGTTTCCCTAGAGATTCCGAGGTTTGTGATTTACGCAATAAACAAATATAAGTTAGTAAATGAAGGTATTAAAACCAACTGAGCTAGCTTAATTGGCCATTCTTTTACTCTCCTATATCCAAGTGAAGTGGTTAGGGGGTCAATTCTTACCCCGGACAAATGTTGATTATTTCTACATCATTATGAGGGTTGTATTGAGTTTATTTCTACCCATTACGGGATATGCTATTTGTTGTGATGATTGTTGGGTTTGTAGATGTGCCTTGTTGGACTTTAATTCTCTGGTTCGATGCAATTCTCATATATTTGTAATTGATCTCCTTGTTGAAATCCCTCAACAAGCTATTTGAATCTCTTCGAAGAGTACAATAAAGTCTAGAAGGTAATTAAAACCACTCTTGTAGTGATTTTGGGTATAATAAATACAAAAGAGCATTAAATGCTCATTTGACCGTTTTACCCTCCGCTTGCAGGAATAAGGTTGCATACATCAATCCTTCTCCAGACTCTGCTTAAGCGGGATTTTTGTGCACTGAGTACACCCTTTTAGAGGTGTCGACACTATCTGTAACAACCTCGTCCCACATTGGAAGTTTGCATGGGTGATCTTGGGCATATAAAACACTACTAACTTGCTAATAAGTAAGTTGGACTTAAGCTTTTGGGTCATGTTGATAGACCCACAGGTTAGTAGTGGAGTTTGATAAGTGGGGGAGTTTGTGATTATAGACCCTTGTGTCAATTTATAAGTGGTGGAGTTTGATAAGTGGAGTTTGTCCGTCCTGCATCAAAAGTTTGCATGGGTGATCATAAATGGGGGAGTTTGTAACAAGCCCGTCCCACATCGGAAGTTTACATAGGTGATCTTGGGTATCTAAAACACCACTAACTTACTACTAAGTAACTTAGACTTAAGCTTTTGGGTCATGGTTATAGACCCACAAGTTACTTGCCCCAACAAGTAGTGGGGCATTATGCTATCTTTGAAGGTGTCGACACTTTGTCTGGTTGAATTTTCATGACTTTGGATTATGGTGTCGACATTTACTTTTTTTTCCTTTTAAAGTAAGGTGGCTACTGGAACCATGTGTCGACACTACAACTTAAAGGTGTGGACACTTCTTCAAGGTTGATATCATCTCGAGGTTTTGGAATACGGTGTCAACACTTTTAGGCTTTGATGTGGATACTATCATGATATTCAAGAGGAAATCCGAGGTTACATCCAACAATATAAATTATCAAAGGTTCAAAGATAAAATCTTCAAACTTGGAAGAGTAAATAACTTGGAATTCATTATACTAGGGAAGTTTTTAGATAAGAAGAGACTTCCCTTAAGTTTCCATTTGTCATTCATCAAATCAATCACGGAAACCTTGGGGCGGGGACAGATGTAGGATTTTAACTTTGAGGGGGTGAACGTATAGATAAGAAAAAATTATCTAATGAACGTTTGGAATGCAATATCTATTTCTATCAACACAAGATATAAAAAATATCACAAAATGAATCATTAGAAATTTTTATTTAATGTATATAATTATAGAAATATGATCAATAGAATATGTGACTAGATAACTTATTATAAAATCATTCCATATCATGTTTTTACCAACACTTGGCACAACTTAGAAATTGTTGACAACTTTTAAAATTAGGGATGTTTAAGGATATATCAATCCCAGAGGTTAGCAATTGAAATTTTAAATGCAATTTTTTTACTTTATGAAGTCATTGGGGCAAGGTTTATTTATAAGTCTGCAAAAATTTTCAATTTTGAAAGACTTATAACTATCCTTAGTATTTGAAACAAAGCTAAGAAAGGGACTCCATCACATTCTCCTTAATTCAATTCTTACGAGTAACTTCAATTCTTAATATATTAAAGAAGGAAAGAGATAATCGAAACAGAGAGACAATGAGCAGAGGGAGAAAGGAAGCAAAGAAGAAATTTTGAAATAAATATGGAAAAGGTGAAGAAGAAACCAAAAATGCAGATCGAGTTGAAGAGAAAACCAAAACAACAAAAAAAAAAAAGAAAAAATGAAACAAATGAAGAATAAGAAGAGACATGGGAGAACTGAAACACATAAGAACAATAAAAGATAGAAAGAAACACATGTAGAGTGGAAGTGTGGGGATTACAACTCGAAAATGCGAATGCAGATCGAGTTGAAGAGAAAACCAAAACAACAAAAAAAAAAAAAGAAAAAATGAAACAAATGAAGAATAAGAAGAGACATGGGAGAACTGAAACACATAAGAACAATAAAAGATAGAAAGAAACACATGTAGAGTGGAAGTGTGGGGATTACAACTCGAAAATGCGAATTGAGTTGAAGATCCAAGTTGATGGAAGTCGTTTCACCAACCTTTAGTTCTTCAAATGTTCTCTCTAAATGATTTTCTTCAAATGGCTAACTATGGATTTTCGGCTACCGATATGAGAATATCTTAGGGAGGCGAGTATTAAATTTTTCAAAAAAAATTTGGGTTGGTGAACCTATATAATTTAGGCATATTCTTAACTAATAGTCTAATACTACTGTATTGAAGGACTTTTTTCAAAACAATGAAGTACTAGTCGCCCCTGCCAGCCCCTCCTTGGTCCATTCCTACTTGGGGCTAACATAACTATGATTGAGAAGTGAATAGTGTGTATAGTGTAGGGAGGCATAGAAGGGATTGTATTTGGCAGAAAAATCTCTATGGAAGTCCTAATGGGTAGTGAAAGAGATTGAAGCGTATGAGAGAGCCATTGAAATGACTAAATGGAGGGAGATGTCTCTATTGACGTGTAATGAAAGCCATTTGTGTTTATAGTCTCCCAATGTTCAAAGATTTTAACATGCTTGATTGAGCTTTGTGGGGGCCGAATATTAAGAGTCGTAGAGATGCCGAATAGTCGAACTTGGAGTCGAAATATATAGCACTCGGCGCTGTCTCGCACGCTCGAATTCTATCCTATTCGGCCAAATAGCCGGTCGAGCGAGGGGCCGAGTGAAAAGTGGTTTGCTACAATTGAAGTCGAATGGCGAATTGAAAGTGGACCCAATCTCGAGGCCCAAGAAAGAAAAGATATAAATAGAAGAACATCAGCCAGGAAGAGGTATGTGAGAACCATTGCACTTTACTTAAAATACAAGTAATTCAGAGAGTAGAGACTGACTTGCCCGTCGGAGTGCTAATTCCGGCACCCCCAATCGGAGTGTTAATTCTTTTTCAAGTGACTAGTTGAGGATCACTAGCGTACCCCAAGGATCTGAAGAGTATTTTCAAACCACTTCTCCACAATTGGCGCCGTCTGTGGGAATACTCAAATGCATCCATGACGGGCGTAACAGAAGACCCTCCGATAGTCACTGATGAAACCACGCAGAGAGACGACCTCACTCTAGAAAACATGCTTGGACCGGAGACTATCCCCGCAAGACGCGCTTTGAACTTCGCTTCACCCTCGACTTCAGAGCATGAGGCAATGCAAGCGATCATGGAACAAGCGAAGCAAAACGAACAGAGGTTGGAGAACATAATCACTGAGAACGAACGTCTCCGTCAGGACTTGGCCTTAGAAGTGGCAAAGTCCAAACAAGCTGTATGCCAAGATCCGGAAGGACCTTTGAGGGCAGGTGGTCGACGACCTCGAGCCCGACAACAAGACACTGATAGCGACTCCGACTTATTATCCCCGGAGCCCAAGAAGAAGGGACGACCCGAGACTTCCAGTTCCTCTGAAGAAAGTCCACGTATAAGGCATAACCGCAGAAGAAACAGTTCAGATGAGGAAGACTAGCATAATCCCTTTGTGCGACGAATCGCAAGGGCGGTTCTGCTCAAAAAGTTCAAAGCTCCGTCGTTCACTCTCTATGATGGAAAATCAGATCCCACCGATCACATTTGTCACTACAAGCAAGCCATGACATTGCATGCAGACGACGAGGCCCTCATGTGTCGTATATTTCCTAGCAATTTGGGACCATTCGCTGTCAGGTGGTATTATAAACTGGAGCCGGCTTCGATCAAACGCTTCCATCAATTACAGAAATCCTTCAGGGCCAGATTCATCACCAACGAGGTCCAGCCAAAACAAGCCGACTCTCTCTGGGCAATGCAGATCAAACCATCTTGTTGATGACGCATGCAACGACTCCATGGCTATCATCGCCTTCAAAATGGGTTTGCATCTTGACAGTGCTTTCCGCAGTTCCTTGACTAGAAGACCCCTCAAAACAGTCTGGTCGTTGATGAAGAAAGTTGAGGAATACTGCAAAGTGAAGGATGACGTCTTGCGAGTTAAAGCCGAAAACGCGGCCAACAAGTCGGCCTCTTCTGAAATTTGCTCTGCCAATAAATTCTGTACCACCTCAGAGCCCCGAGCCACGGCATTGGGCTAAACGAGACAAGAGACGGGATTCTCACTGATCAAGCGACCAATGCTCCCACTGAGCAAATGAACAACTGCAAGTTGATAGCAGGCGCACGAGGCTCGCCGGCAAGAAATATATGGAGTTGACAGAGCTGATTAGCGCGGTCATGTCCAAAATCCAACACCTTCCGTTCTTCAAATGGCTGTCCAAAATGGTGGGATCTCCCAGCACGAAAAGGCGGGATAGACGGTGTGAGTATCATAAGGACCATGACCATGATATTGAGAGTTGTTATGCATTGAAGGATCACTTGGAGGAAT